TTTGATGTATTATGTATTCTTATAATTTAGTTCAATGATAATTGTGTTGGGTTAGATTTTAGGTTTGTAAATGTTAAAATATGCAAAAACACACACACCACTGAGCTCCAAAAATCTGACAGATCACTTAAAGGCTAAGTTAATCAAGATCAATGCTTCTGGGAAGATTGAACAGTTGTCTTATTTTGAATGTCCTGCTTGCTGCATCTTGCATTGGCCTGAGTTTTGCCAGTCATCCTCTTGAATTTCCCAGAATGATGCTGGTTTATGGCACTGAGCACAGTGTGTGGTGAATGTGTTTATCCAGTGCAAATTCAGAGCACATTTCACAAAGGCTGCCAGCACCTAACTGGTCTGCAGGGTGCTGCTTCAGGCTGGGCTGCAGCTGAAGGGTTTGGAACTCTTTTTCAATGCTGAAGGATTGTAAAGAAATTACTTCTTCCACAAGTCCTGGTTCAGAACTCATGGCCCGCTCATTGTCTGAGAGCCTGTAACTAAATCTGTTGGTAACTGATCTAGTGTTGCAAAATGATTAATTTAAATGGCCTTTCCTTAGGGTTTGCCAACAGGTACAGCATTGAGAATACAGCCAGAGTTCAGGTGGGTTTAAGGACTGGAGTTTTGAGAGGACTGCTAGTGTATGTCCTGATCCTTGTTGTGGTTCTAAGAATTTGAGTAACACAATAATAAAGTCTTTGAAGACATTTATTTGTCAAGCTTTATTTAATTAGACTAAAATACTGCCCAGAACCTGATGTGGACATTGTGGTTGACTTCAGTTTATCTGATACATACCCAGTCCCCTAGAACAAGATAAAAACCCCCATTTCTTTAACCTTAGTATGTTTTCATTTTAGTGTGTGGGAAAATCAGCAATTACTCATTTGTGGATAAAAGCCAGGGAGGTTGGACAAATGCTTAAGAAATTATGGGGGGAAATTAGGAGATAAAACAAATTAGAAGGAACATTTGGTGAAAGCAAAGCACTGTAAAACTGATCAGTATTTTTTGACATTTTATAAGCCATTGTACATTTATTGCCATGGTAATGAATGGAAATTGAGTGGGTGATACATGTTTTGGTGGTTTTAATTTAAAAAAAAAATAGGAAGGCAGTAAGCAGTATAATTTTTACTCTATTTTCAGTTAGTAGCTACTAGCTACTGTTCTGTTTTCAGCTCATAGATCTTTTTTAAAAGTCAGAAAATTAGTTGTTCAAAAAGCCATCAAAGTACATGCATGTTATTGAGGGAAGGAAGAACAGAACATTGTTTCCAAGACATTTTATTTGTCTGTCACAAAAAAGGATATTGACTGACACCAGAGAGAGCTGCATTCCTGTATCCCTTTCTTAGTGAAGGTTTAATTGTGATCAGAGCCCTTAGATACATGAGGAAAAGTTATGAAAAGAATAATAAGGTGAATAATAAATTCCTTAATTAAAACTGAATAATAATGTATCCTCTTATTAAAAAAAATTTAAGTGCCCATAAAAACAAATGCCAAGCAGGTTTTGCAAATACAGTAAATTAAGCTTTTCACAGACATTGAATTAATTTAATTGCATAAGTGTATATTGTAATTTAATTTAGTAGGCAAACAAGACCACTGATCTTTCTGATCTGGTATTTTGAATCCAACTGTGAGCTGGATCCTAAGGCATTAGTATTATAATTGTCATGGGGAACTGTAATTCTCTTTATTGTGCTGTGTGAAACAACACAAGAGCAGAGTTTTTCAGCAAGCCCATAATATGTAAAGCAAGCCCATAATATTGTAAATATTCTGAAGTGTTAATGATACCTTGGAATATTCATTGTGTATAATGGAGTTAATTTTGCATTCTTACTCTTCTGACATATTACCTATAAATTATGAGGAATGAGTTCAGCTTTGTTTACTAGAGTGCTTTTTTCTCACACTTTCTTATTTGAATTTGTGACACTTTGTTCAGTATGATCACCTGTAATTGTGTCCTTTGTGATCCATTCAAAACTGAGAGTAGACTCCTATAGAATTCACAGAGATGGCAACTCAAATACTGGGTTATGTGTGTTATGTACATATTTATACATTCACGTATAATATTTTTTAGAATGTAAGTTGTACATTTCACAAAAAGCAAACATTTTGCTTTGCTAGAGGAAGCATTTGGTTAAATATACCTCTGGCTAAATAAAGAGACCACCAACACACAGGTAGGTGGAGACATGATGGTTGGCACACCACTTCAAACATGACAGGTTGTTTTTAATGTATTTCCCATTTGAGGATTAGTGTTCATAAGCATAGGCAAATTATTCCTTGCAGTATGTTTGTGGCTGTATGCAATGTAATGAAAAGATTTCCAAGAGAGATTATTTGTAGTTGGAGCTCATTAATGAGGTAGATTAATTTTAAGCCTGATGAAATGATACAGATAAAAATTTAGCCTCAAAATACACCTATAAAATGGAAGTTACTGGATTTTAAAGCCCAGCTTCTAAATTAATTTTCAATTCTGCACATGTAATTTTATATTTTATTTTAATTTTAGCCTGTGTGTCTCTGAATGTTATGTGAGTTATCTAATTACAATTAATATTTCTGAACATATTATCTGAAATGCATTAAATTTTTAATTTAATCTGTGTATTAAAACGTCAACAATCTTGTTCTTAGTGGATCACATTTTTAAGTAATTTCCCTTGCTTCAGGTACAGGTTAAAGAACATAAATTTTTCAGAGTTTCAAGACACATATTAGAAAGTCTTACATTAGGTGAGTTGCCAGCTGAGAAGACTTTTACTAACTTTCTGTCTGTATTTTTCTGTGGACTTGTGCTATGAGACAAAGGTTCAGAAGGGGAGTGCCTTTGATTTGCTTCTCACTGTGGCTATTAGCAGCTGCTCCAAGAGTGAGAGCAAGACAGCATGTAGGATATTCCTACCAATCTCCCTGCTTCCAGCATTTTTCAACCTGGAAGCCTCTCCAAGCAGCTGAGGTTTGTCTGTGTTTCCTAAAAGAAAGTGTGTTTCTTTTTCATGACTTTCTGTCATTGGAAACTTTGATCTCAGTTTTTTTCAAGCAATTGACACATATTGTAATTAACATGGATCCCAGCATAGAAGCTTAGTAAAACTCACCTTTGTCGACTGTGGAGACTGGTGATTTACTCCTATGCCCTGTTTTCTATCTTTTGAGGAATTATTTATCTGTGCCACATCTTTTGTATGCCCCATCTGTTAAGTTTTCCCCAAACAGTTTGATTAGGGATTTTCCAAACTCTCTTGGAAATCTCAGTCGATCTCTCTGTGCTTCTAAGCCATTCAGAATGTCCCTTTACAAAAGCTGTGCTGCCTCTTCTGGCATGAGTCATCCAAATGTCTGCTAATTCAGTTCTTCATTATGACCTATACTAATTTGTATGGATGTCAGGCTTATGGGTCTGTAGCTCTCAAGCTCTCAAGATGTTCCATGAAAAAAAGTTTGAACCTTGTTGTTGTGTGTTTCAATGTGTGTGAGTGCAGTTGTTCCTAATACTTGCTGGTCATTTCTTTCCTTTAGTTTTGTAATTTTTATATAGTCTCTTCAGTTTCTTTGGGCTTCCCACAATGAGCTCTTGTATCAGGGTCTCCCCAGTTCCCTTCAGTGGACACCAGTGGAAGGTGTTAAATTAGCTTGTCCACAGGGGTCTTGTCTTCCCTGTATTCCTTCATATTTTCATTGCCAGTCTGCTCTGCAGACTCCCTGGCAGGCTTTCTTATTCCTCATGTCTTTGAAGAAATATTTATTGTTAGTTTGCTAGTTGTTCCTCTTCTATTTTCTTCTTCTGTACATTTCTTCTGATATCATCTTTTATATTCCATTGTGTATAGTCATGCTGGTTTTCTATTGCTGTTTCCTAAGTGTTATTTATAAATGGTGTGTGCTGGCCTTGTGCTTACTGCATAGCATCTTTAAGTAGTTTCCACAGTACCTGTAGGGATTTAATTTTTGTTCTTTTGATGTGTTTATATAAAAATGTCCTTGTTTTTATGTATATTTTCCGATGTATTGCTCACCAAAGGCAGAATTTCCACAGCTATCCTTTTCTTTTATACCTGTCGGAACTTGAGTGCAAAGCAGGTAGTTAGAAATTTGTGAGATTTATACTTCCAAAACCAACATAAGTGCACAAACAGTACATGAATTACATATGCACAGTATCATAGAAGGCTTTGAAAGCTATCACATTGTATTTCAGAAGTGTGGCTACACATTCTGCTGTGTAGTCTGGTGGGGTTTTTCCAGTGACATAGGCAGACTTCTCAAATGGAGTCTTGAGAGCATTGGAAGCAGTATGGGGAGTACTCTGTAGCAGGGAAACCAATTACTGATCCTTTCCTGGCAATATTTGAATCTCCTGCTCTTTTGTGCTAAAAATATGTTGTCCATTGTTGTGAACAAAAGAGATTTTTTTGGTTGTTTGGGATTTTTTTTTACTTCAGTGTAAATGGGTCAGTTACTAGAATTTGGATTTTTCAAGGTAGGATTATTTTAGTGTGTATTTTTGAATAGGCTGCTTCTAATTTATCTAGATATGAATATCTGATCTTCCTTTTTTTGTAAAGTTCTCTGTACAGCAGGAGTGGAAGCAGTGCTTCATTTTGAGAACAGTTTTGAAGTAAATTCAAAGATTAGTTATCACTCAGACAAAAGCAGCTTCAGATGTTGGAAGTTGTCCTTTTAGAAATATCCAAGAAACTGCAGTCTAATTCCATGCATATCAGCATAGTTAAATTATTTTATGGCAGCTGAATATCTGTCCTGTAATGTATTAAATAATTTAATTTCTGATAAATAAGTTGCATAGTAAGTATTTAACTTCTATTTGCTTTTCTAAAGGACTCTTAATGGGCTCAGTAAGTGCAGGTTGTTACAATGATACTCATGCATCTTAGAATTTTTTAATTAAACAGTAGGAAATCATTTGCCTGTCTTGTGGTATGCTTGAATATTTTTTTTCCCCCATGTTTCAGGTAAATATGCTGAAGATATATTTGGTGAACTTTTCAATGAAGCACACAGTTTCTCATTTAGAGTCAACTCCTTACAGGAACGTGTAGATCGCTTGTCCGTCAGTGTTACACAACTCGATCCAAAGGAAGAGGAATGTAAGTTACCTCCTGCGGGGAGGATTTCTTATTTTGTCCCTCAGACAGCGCTGATAGGTGAAATGGAAGTAATAGTTTAATAGTTTAAATCATATTTATAAGAACACACAGCAAAGCATCATAAGAAAGGTCCAGTTCTATTTCTGCTACACGCTTTTTTTATAGCCTCGAGCAGCTTTCTGAGCTCACCGTTTTCATGGTTACTGAATGATACTAAAAAATTTACATAAAAATGGCTACAGGAGTATCTGTCACTTCAGTAGTATTGCATATTTAGAATATTAATAATATTGTGTAATATTATGTGAATGCTTAGAGATAAGTCTATACACTTTTTTAAACCTTTCTATTAATTCTCATGGAATGTAAACATTTGTCCAAGTAGGGTTTTGGCATTTAACTTGTACTATCTTACTTTCTGAATGACGTTATAGTTGTATAGCTTCATTTATTACTGCTGCATAACCTCTTGGACTCTTCCTAAATAATTTTAAGTATTGTAAATATTGGTTAGCACTGAGAAAACAAGTACTCTCAGAAGTCATCAGCTCATGCCTGTAAGATAGAATTTGTACCGAATTTTAAAGGATGCCTAGGGTTTGTTGGACCACCTAATTCATAAATGCCATGAAGCTTTTTTGCCTTCATTGATATCTGTCGGTCACAGGTCAACTGTGAAAAATCTTGTAACCCCCAAAAAATTTAGGGTGTTCTAAACTATGTGGTTAAGACCTAGAAAGAAGAGGAACACCCCATCATGAAGTATGACTTCAGATTGCTTGTGGGATCCAGTTTTAAACTATAGAAAGCTGTTTCAGTTCTCAATGTCTAGATATAATAATTTTGTATTATTAGATTGTGTGATTACAATTGTGTATACAGAAAATTGAAGTGTCAAACCAGAAGTGTGATCTTCAGGTTGTCTTTGGTTATAGATGTCAGAATTTCACTAGTAGCAAAATTAAGCAAGGGGAATTTTTGATTCTGTATTTTGCGTGACATTAATTTTAGAACAGGTTTTGAAAGACAGCTGCTCACAGCTAGTAGCAGATTTTCCACAAAATCATGACTTGCCTAGGGGAATTCTTACATTAATGGGATTTTCCAAGTCTCTTGATAACTGAGCATAAATCACTCTTGTATACCTCTTTTTCCAATTGTTGTGGTTTAACCTGGCAGGGAGTTATACACCACACATCCACTTGCTCACCCCTGCTCCACAGTGGGAGGAGGGAGATAATCAGGGGGGGAAAAAATGTAAAATTTGTGTGTTGAAATAATGACATTTTAATAGGATAGAAAAGGAAGGAAAACATCAATAACAATATTAGAATACACAGAACAAGTGATGCACAATGCAGTTGCTCACCACCTGCTGACTGATGCCCAGCCAGTTCCTGAGGAGCAGCCCAGCCCCCAGACACCTTTTCCCCTGGGTTTATGTGCTAAGCATGGCACCCTATGGTGTGGAAGGTCTCTTTGGCCAGTTTGGGTCAGCTCTCATGGCTGGGTCTCTTCCCATCTCCTCGTGCCCCCCATCCTGCTGGCTGGTAGGGTGGAGTTAGAAGCTGAAGAGTCCTTGACCGCTGCTCAGCAATGATAAAGCATCAGTGTGTTATCAGCATTATTCTCATCCTAAATCCCGAACACAGCACTATACCAGATACTAGGAAAAAATGAAATCTCCTCCTGCCCAAACCAGGGCATTTTTGCTATGATTGGATAATGGTAAAAAACCCTTTCCATATATGATAATAAATTGTCAGCAGTTGTAATCTTGTAATGACTGTAACATTCTGGAGTGTTAATGGCATTTCCACATTTACTCTTGACAGCCTAGTTTTGGTTCAAATCAGAGGGGGATGTATGTTGATATATCATATCTGATATGTTAATCATTCACATTTCCATAGAATGGAGAGACCATATTAAGCCATTGAGTTAAAGCATCCAGGGATATTACACAATAGCAAGACAATTGTACTATGCTATGTAAAAGGCTTTTTACAAGTTTGGCTCTAGGTTTCAGGACCAAAAATCCGTAACTATTTGATGTTAGAGAATTGCTAGGAGTAGTTTTAAATAGTGTGTAGTGCCCAATGTGCCATACCAACACATTTTCACAGAACTGTCCTTGCTGTAGTGTTTGCTACACTCTGTAGCCAAAGAAAGGTACAGACTGCAGTCAAGGAAGCAGGGCTGGGAATAGGTCCTCACAGTGAAGTCCAGTGTGGCTCAGGGTGATTTGAACCTGATCCCCAGGATTTGTGTGTCACACCACAGAATGGCAGTGACTGCTTGTACTTCAGAGGGACACATGCAGTCCTCAGTGTCAGGGGCTGTTAAATTACTGTTTTTATTAGCCTAAGAATATCCAGTCCCTGAGCTGTACCCAGTGCCCCTTATTCACAAATGTCTGCCTGGAATGAGTCACCAGATGAGGACAAAGGAGATGAGGAGACATTTGATACTCTATTTCCTTAAAAGTTAGGGATCAGGAAACTTTTTCCCTTCAGTATACTGTTTTGGGCTTGACTTTGGAAATCCATCACAAATAGTTTAGGTTTAGTCCTAGTGTGGACTAGAATAGCTGAAGGATGTTAATGCATGAAGGGGAGGGAAGGGGGAGAATATTTGAATTTACCTTTTTTAACTCACTATGCAAGAATTAAGCAACTTCCAGTACTTCTACTCAGCTAACAGCATGAGTAAAATGGGATATACTTGTGAAATGAGTCTCATCTGCTCTTTGCCAGGAGGCAGTAATAGAAGATTTAATGGGTTCCTTTGGGCCTATGCTATTACACAAGAGAAAGAAATTAAGATTCATTTAAAGCTAAGTGGCACGAACAAAACCAGCCCAAGTCAGATTCACTAAACGAGATGCAGATACTTGGCAAGATGTTTCTGGTAGAATCAGAGTGATAAAAAGCTCTGAATTTGTTTGAACAGTCTGTGTGTTTTCTCATTTTGAATTACTACAGCATCTCTGTGAAAGAATAAAACCAAGGTTAAGATTTAAGATTGTATCTTTAGGAGTCTAACTCCTCATGACCAATTTTTCTGTCATAAAAGAGTTGCTGCCAACTTGGTTTGCTTTGAATTATTACACTGTTTTCAAATTCTTGATTTCTCAATGTTATTAATTTAATATTTTAATAGATTTTTAAAAATACTTTATTATTTTCATATACATGTGGGTTTTACCCTCAGAAGATACCAAACTTGTATGCAGACAAAAAGTAATCCTCTGTTTTCCATCAGTAAACTCAACTTTATTTCAATTGTATGGGAAACAAACCCATATGTATCCAAGACTAATATTTGGGGTCCTTTTAGGATTGAGAAAACACATTCTTGCTATAAAGTTGAACTAAGGTCAACAGCTTCACTAGCCCTGCAATATAAGGTGTCCTCATAGGTGAGAAAATAAATTCTGAGTATAGTTTCTTTGCAAGCATTTTTCATTTTAGTATTTACTTTATAGTAAATAGTAAATATATAGTTTGTAGGTAACATTACTAACTCTGTCCATATATATGCAAAATGCATCGATAAAATAATACTTCTCTTAATTGATCAAATTTTCATTAATTTAATTGTGCCTTTTAAGTGTGAGGTACTGCTAAAAGTGAAAAATGGCATAGTTGTAGAAATCTGACAGTTTTGAAAAGAATATTAATTTTAACAATTATGTGGTTCTTTTTTGAAATGCTGATACATGGTACAGCTCTGATGCATTCATGAGATATTGGAAAATAGTTTTGTATCACTCAGAAATAAATAATATCAGGGCAGAAGGAAAATTCATAAATTCAGAGTTTATCAGACTATTTTGGTATTAATTTAGTCCTTCTTTCATTGTGACCTGCCTAATTCTATTTAAACCTTCAGAGAGGGTTTTAATCTCAAAGGGAGTGTATCAAATTCTTGATTTCCATAGCATATTTGTTATAACTGTGACAAGCAACTTAAATAAACCTAATGGCAGAAGTGCTGTGGGTGAGCAGCCTGGCACATTTCAGGAAAGTGAATTGTGTTTCAGTAGGCTTCTGCCTTTGAATACAAGTGTTAGTTGTTTTTCTAAACATTCTATAAATATTGCCCTGTCATTAAAACAATAGTTGTTCAGAAGTTTGGCTGGACCAATGCCAGAAACAGATTTGTTGTTTTGCTATGGGGGAAAAGAAAGGTGGCATTTGGTGGGGAGAAACCTAAAAAGCTTGACAGATGATTGTGGTCTGTATACTCTGGAAATGGGAGACTTGTTCATCTCTAAAGTCTGGATACTCAGCCCATTGTGAGACTTAGAAGGAAAGGGTAGCAAACCCCAGTTTAAGGGTCAGCTCACTGTCTTTAAGCTGTGAAGAAGATTTTGCTGAGTATAAATGTAATCAAAATTAAGAACTGGGAGCACATCAAAATTGGGTCATGATCTCCACATGTACTGTATTAAGTGGAGAGTAACACTATTGTCAATTCATTCATTAGAAATGTTACCCTCCAAGGCAGATAAAGACTGTTAAATTATATAGCAGGTCTCTTTTCCTTGCACATTGCTACTTAAAGAAAGTTAGATTTGATTGTTAGACTGATCTCCCTCTCAAGATTCTGAGCAGGTGGGCTGAGCTTCAACTGCTCTCTGTTTTCTTAGGCCCTTGATTGAATCTGAGGGTTATTTAGTAAGTAAATCAGTTTTAAATTAGCATGTCCAAGGCTTAATAGTTCCATGGTAAGACCATGATAGTGCATGTTTTGTGTATAAAAAGAGGGATGTGGACACAATACCATTTGTCAAACAATGTGGTGGTTTTGTTGAGACTAACCAGCAGATTCAGTGTTTGATGCCCACAGGTATTTCACATCTTAATAGGGCTTACTTGTTCTACATGCTGCGTTTGAAGCAGCTTCTGAGTCCTCCTAAAATGATTGATCTAACATTTACATCTTCTTTTTATTTACCTGTAGTAAAGGTACATACATTCTCCATCCAAAAAGTTCTTGAGCTGTTTTGGAATTTTTTAGAACAGTATTTCAGAAAATTTCTATTTCTTGTGTAGGGGACAGACCCAAGAGTGATGTCTGATCTATAGAAATAATCTCTCTCTTTAGCAACTATCAAACCCACAGTCAGAGTATTCTGATGGCAGAGAAACCTAAAGTGTGCATTCTGGTCATTGTTTAAATGGATAACCGTTAAAAGTATAAAATAAATAAGGTAGAAATCAGACTTTAAGATTGCAGTGTCTTTAGGAACTGAATCACACAAATCTTTACCTTAAGAGAATTTTCAGCAGCACCACTCCCTACCAATTAAGTACCTTTAGTGGGAAATTTACAACTAAGTTATTTGTTTGAGAGTGTTGTTCTTTTCTCTTTGCACTTTTCAAATTGCTGGGTAAGTTTTTGAACAGAGAAAGGGAATTGTATAGGGCAACGGAGTCCCTTGATTTGGATGAAATTTCCCCTAGTCATTTAGTTCTGCAGGGAGTCACAGCTGTGATATTCAAGAGTTTACAGTCCTGAAAGATGCCAGGATAAAATTCTGCAAAAAGTATTAAGAGAACAAGCTTTTAAGAGGAATAGATGATTTCTTTATTTGCTGTCTTTAGAAGAATGGTATTTTTTTGCCTAGAACCTAATTGTAAATTGTGTAGTTGAGTGATTGTAAAAGAATAAAAATAAATCTAGAAACTTTTTTTTTTCTTCTGGTGAAGTAAAATGTAGTATTTAATGTATTTGAAAAGTTAAAGTTAGCTGCTTTCTGTCAGTGCTCTGGTGAGCTCTATACCTGACTTTTACTACAAATTGCAGGTTGCAGTTTAATGAGATGCTTGCCAAGAGATAAAACATTATTTAGTATGCAGATTACAGATGTGCTTTTATTTAATTTTTACTTTACCCCAAAAGAAACACAGTTATTGTATCTCATCAGAGTACAATTTAAATACCCTTCCCCCCCACAGTGTGTTGTTGATTATGAGTAAAAATGGACTGGCATCTCTTTTTCAAAACCAAATGTACAAAAGGTTGACAGTTTAGCTTTCTGACAGACAGCTTTTGCTTATGTGGAAAATATTGTTGTGCACAGAGGGCTGATTGGCTTAGATTGGCTGATATAATGCATCTTTTCATACAATCCAAACAACAGACACAATAAAGACAAACAGGCATTTGTTTAGATTATTGAATGAATCTTCACATTAAATTGTGAATAGCTCAACTTTTAAGGAAATTATTTAAGACCCTGGTTTTTGTTAATTACAGTGAGCACAAATGGTGTAGTAGGTGGACTTTCAGAAAAATATGTCCGTATCAAATTTAGGATTTTGGGCTGTACAAAAATTTCTGGTCCTTGTTAGGAATTAAACAACTAGAAGCCTAAATTTACCATCATCAAGTCAATTGCCTGCAGCTTTTCTAACTCCTCCTTCAGCTGCTCATCTCTACTCACACCTGAGTTCCTACATGCACTTTGCCTGCCCTGTGCCGTGGCAGTGCCAGTTTGTCTCAGTCCAAGCTGGGAGCCACCAGCCAGGTTTTCACCTCTCCCCCCCCGAGGCTGTAAAGCACGCAGGGCTCTTGTCCCTCTGCCAGCTGGCAAGCTGAACAAGTGGCTTTGGAAGCCAGACCGTGCACAGCCCAGGATTAGGCTGGGTGTGTGACGCGGGATTTACCTGATCCCTCTGGGTAGGCACCTTATATCCGTGTCAGGATTGTCCCTGTGCTGCGTGCCACCTCCTTCCCTTTCCTGAGCAATGCTGTCCTGGTGTGCTCTGTTGGTTGGAATAATGGTGTGCTTGTCAGGGAATGCCTGGTACAGGTCATCAGCATAGGAAATGTTGCTTTTCCATGAAGCCTTCTGCTGTGTATCTTAGGTATAAGAGAAAATTATTATACTTATTGTTGGGGATTGATTTATTGATTGCTTATCCTCTAGTGTGTTATCCCCCTGTATGTGTGTACAAAATGTAGAGTTTCAATCAAGAAAAGGGAAATTATGAATTAGATTGTCTGTGCTTGCTCGTTGAAGAGATGGAATGCTAATAAGGAGTTTGTAGAACAGTGTAAATAATATGGTGTCACATGCTCTGTGAGCATTTTAATATTAAACCAAAGTACTATATTTATTTATTAGAATAAATTGATTAAGTTAGTTGTCTTCAGAATGTACACAGGTTGAAAGAGAAGTATACTAAGTTTTACTTTTGTTGGAAATGTCTCCAATATATGACAGAAATCTTGCAGGATTGCCAAGCAACTCTGAGCAAGTACATTTGGTGTTATTTGTATAACCAACAACCCAAAGGAAAGGCATAAAATGATCTAAGACTTAAATTTTAGACTTAAATTTTTAAACCTCAGTTATTCTAACTGAACTTTTGCCAGCTGATAACAACCTGTACTTCATGACAGGTACAAAATATATAGGGTTAGTTATGACTGCAGAAATACCTACAGAAATTGAGACTCCTAGCTGACATTCAGACTTTATAATACTTCTTTCACACACTTAAAAAGGCTTCTGAGCAGCTAATTAAAGCTATTAAAAATAATAAAAGACACTGTGATGAATTAGAACCTAAGGGTAAAAAGGAGGAAACTTCTCCAGGAATACACAACCTTGCCAAGCGTAATAAACTTCAAAAGCCAAGCTGAAAATCAAATAAATCCCATCTTGAGCCTCACAAAGGATGTTGCCAATATGCTTAGGTAAGAAGACAGAACATTCCAGGAACTGCAAGCCTTCTGGAAAAAATCCTGCTTTCTGCCCCTTTGTGATCACACAGTAGAAATCCAGCTTGGTGTATGTACATGTGTATGTGAACACTTGTATGTGTTACAGGAACCTGAGTAAAAAACCAGTTTTCTGCTTAAACAGGTTTTCTTTAAACTGCTGCCAAAGGCCCTAGTGATAGGGGTAGAGTTGTCCTCTCATCTTGCCTAAAGGGGCATTACTACTAACCTGTTTCTATGAAATAAACATAATTATTTATAGATAAAATGTATGTGCTGAAAGTGCTCTTTACTACCATGTCAGAAAACTGTTTTCAGCATTGTTTGTGACTTTAAAAAAAGAGCCCAAGCTAATGAAAAGATCTGCTGCTTTATCTAATGGAAGTCTCATGCTGGTTGCAAGGGTAGCTTTTAGGCACACCTGGACTTCACAGGTGTGGTAACTGAAGAGCAGGGAGGGAGAGAAATATGAGACTAAATAGGTATACAGTTTCCAGAATTAAAAGTGCAAAGCTTATCAGTTGTGGTTACTTTTCCATTAATCTTTATCTAAATTTTAATGAAACAGAAAAGATTCTTTTGAAATCAAGAAAGATATCTATGTAGACTTTACCAGGAGTAGATAAAAATAGTTGAAATCCCTGTTTAATGTGTTGTGTTCATGTAGTATTGTTTTCCTGTGGATCTTACATAAAGGTAATTGATTATTCCTAACGACTGTTCTTAAAAGTCAAGGTGGCTCTGAATTATACAGAGAAGGCTCATATTGATTAAACAGATTAAAAAGCATTTGACTATTTTCATGTGTTGCAACACAGAATTACCTCCCATTAAAGCCCATTGATCTCAGTAGCATAAGCCTAAGTGATTTTCTGGTTTGGCATCTCAGTGGGCCCTCAGTGGAACTGCTGCCTACATGCAAGGAATGCAAAGTTTGGCTTGCTGATGCCATAAAGGTAAAATCTATACCTCAAGGTAGAGAGCAGTTTTTCTTAGCAAAAGGATTGTGAAATAGAGTTGGTAAATGTTATTAGGTACTTCTGAACTACTGAATGATATTTTACAGCTACAGCATGCAATTTGTTGAACTACTTAGGAGAGACATAGTTCTGATATCTATTTAGGTGAGAAAAAATTCCTGTGAAGCTAAATAGAGGATGATGTGCTAGAACATTAGAACCATGTTTGTCACACAGTCTGACAATATCTTGCCATGGCAATAGTGCTAGATGAATCTGTATTTGCTGTAAAAGGCCCAAGATGCAAGCAGTAGTGCTTTATATTTTAACCAACATCAGGTAATTCCAGATTAATCCAAACAAAATGTATCTGGTGGGATTTTTTTAAATGGCAATATCCCCTTTCAGTGTCACTGCAGGACATTACCATGAGAAAAGCTTTCCGGAGCTCCACGATTCAAGACCAGCAGCTGTTTGACCGCAAAACTCTGCCAATTCCTTTGCAAGAAACTTATGACATTTGTGAGCAGCCTCCTCCGCTTAACATTCTCACCCCTTACAGGTTAGTGAAACAAAATTGATCCAAATCAATGCCTAGCTTATTTTATGTAATAGAGAGGATGTATCCAGGCACCTTGCTCACATGGAGTAGCACTTGAATATTTAAGGAGCCGGACTAGAAAACTGTGAAGCTGCTGGAGGAATGAGAGCAGCAGAAAACATTGTAAGCATTGAAATTTTACTCCATTTTACTCGAATCTTAACTCAGTGTAACATGGTAGGAAAAAAGTAGTTTTTAAATTCTGTATTTCTTAAACCATATAATGCACTTGCATGTGAAGTGAAGAAATTAAACAGGTAAGTGTGTAGAAAGAAGCGTCTTCAATGGAAATTAATATTGTTTGCTGTCCCAGAGATTCAGTTTGAATCAGTAGCTGGACATTAGCAGCCACACAAAATTGCTCAATATTTTAACAGCAAGATTTGAGCTACTGGCATGGGAGTTCTCTGATTTATGACACACATTTTTTTGGTAGTGGTTTTTTTGGGGTTTGTTTGTTTGGTTGGTTTTTTGTTTGTTTGTTTTGTCTGGAGCTTGTGTTAAAGTTATCTTTCTAAAATTAGGACCTTGAATACCAGGAAAGATAGTAAAAAGTGTTGGTGCAGAAGGTCAATGATCACCACTTTTGTGTTCCTCAGTAAAACATTTCAGGGTCTGAGATACTATATATTCCTTAATATGCCCTTGCTTTGTGTTTGGATTCATATCTTCTCAAAGAAACAGTATGCTCTATTTGTGTCACTGTATTTCAGGGATGATGGAAAAGAGGGTTTGAAGTTCTATACCAATCCTTCATATTTCTTTGATCTGTGGAAGGAAAAAATGTTGCAGGACACAGAGGACAAAAGAAAAGAAAAGAGGAAGCAGAAGGTACATATGTTAACTTTATATGGCTTCTCTTTGTTTTTTCCTAGAAAGGGTTTGCTTGCAGATGTGGTACTTTAATAGCAATCCAGACTTGACAGAGTCATCTATTCAACTAAAGCTACTTGTATTCATTCAGTTCCACCAACTTAAACAATTAAATAGTAATAATAATAACAACAGCAGCAGTAGTAAAATATTATAGAAGGACCTAAAGCTTTCATGCTGTCTTAACATAACCAACTTTTGCCAAAGTTTGTGAGTACTCTAGCAATGACTCAGAAAGGAAGGAGGAATGCAGCAGGAGCAAAGAGTTTCACTTGAAAATTTATTTTGTAAGACAAAGTTATGACAGTCTTACAGGTGAAAAAGCTTGAATGACATTTTAATAGATATGTGTAAACTAGAAAGAAATTAGTAGGAATAAAACACTTGCTTATATTTTCTTAAAATTAAACAAGCACTTTTGTAAATGGTAATGCTACTTTTTTATTTGACCATTATTCTGTATGTTTCATATGTAGTAGAGAGAGTAAATATGAGTGTCAGATTTATAATTTGATTTCAGACTTAGAATGAAAAGCTACTTAAACAGGTATTTTTCTCCATATTATTCCGGTTGTTAGCCACTAGTCTGATGTTTCTGGCTCTTACAAGTCATTCTGGTCTACATATTATGTTTAGCCTGAAAGCAAATTTTTCTTGCATTTGAAATGAGATTGTTTTTCATAATTTTGTGGCTGATGTTTATATGCAAGTAATTAAAAAACACTGTCTCAGTTGTCAGTTTTGTTTGCACAACTCTCCTACAGCAGAAAAATCTAGATCGCCCTCACGAACCAGAGAAAGTGCCAAGGGCACCTCATGACAGACGGAGAGAGTGGCAGAAGCTAGCCCAAGGTCCAGAGCTGGCAGAAGATGATGCTAACCTCTTACATAAGCACATTGAAGTTGCTAATGGCCCAGCTTCACATTTTGAATCAAGGTTCCTTTTTGTTTTTTCTATCCTTTATGAAGTGTATTCATACTGTGAACATGCATGAGAAGTGGTCAGTGATGAGATGCTATTGTTCCCCTTGAAATGCACTGGAAATCACTGATTTAGCTTAATCAAAACTCAGGTTTGAAATTCTTAGTGTGTCTATAAAGGAGGAGTTACTGTGTTGTTGTTTTTAAGGGTACCATGTATCCTCATTGTATCCTTGAGGATGTGCTGTCCTCTGCAGCTTGAGGGAGGTGTAGTGTCCCAGGTGTGTCACTGCATTCCAGTCCTGACCCACAAAATCCCCATTGTTCCAGCCTCTTGATTTTTCTGAAGCAGACACTGCCAAGACTATATTGTGTGTGTGATGTGAACAAACGTCCACTTGGAAATCAAATGAGAATGCTGAGCTTCCCTTTACTCTTGAACAAATCCCTGATTTGATTGACATTTCTGGTTATAGCCTATTACAAAATCCAACCTGTTGAATTCTCATTTCACAGCGTGTATTTGCTGGTGGCTAAAAGTAGCATTTCACATGGCAAACACCTGCTGTGCTTATGCTTCTGGTCTTGGTGCAAAATCAAGTCCATTTTACCAGCCAAGAAACATCTAATAGCAAAGAGGGCTGACAAGTAATGTTAGGCAGTTTGGGGATAATTTTTTTGTTTGGGGGTTTTGGGTGTTTTGTTGGGTTTTTTTTAAATTAAAAAGTATTCATTGTCCTCCAAAAGCTGGTTAATTTTTTCCTCTATCTTTCTGTGGTCAAAAGCACACCATAAGAGAGTATTTTGTTTAGCTTTGTAAGGCCTTCAAACAAGCTCAGTAGTGAAGGTGAGTAATTATGACAACTCTAGGAGAGAGAGTTTGTTGCCTGAAAAGTAGAAAAACCTGCTTGTAAGAAACTTAGCTCAATTCAGAATGGAAAATGCTCTCAGTGCGTTTCACTCAGTGGGGTACAAGTTAAGTTATGGTGATTAGCATTTTTCTAGGAACAGCTTTATAGAATCTCTGTAAGCTGCTTGGCAGAAACATCTGCTTTCCTGCTGTCCTTTTGTTATGTTGTATGTTGGGTTCCACTTTAGACATGCTTGTTTTATATCCAGGACCCTGGCCTAAACCTTGATTATCTCAGTACTAGTAATGCAATTATTAATAATGCTGAAGTGCTTGGGAGCACTGCATGTGCAGAACATGTTGTTCAGATACAGAACAGCACCATACTTTGAAATAAATGAGAAAGATTTTCACCCCTGAAGAACTTAATAGGCTTAGGTACTACAGTGGTGGCAGTATGTGGAAATGTAGAGTGTTGCTCTACTAGTTGGAAAGTGTTCTACAAACACTTTTGCTCTGAATTTAATAGAATTTTTTTAAATAAAATTCTGTAATTGAATAGTTAATTAAAATTTACTAACTGATCAGATCCTTGAGGTGTGTCTAAAGTTGCCATTAACAAGTTGAATCATCTTTATTTAGTGCTAGTACTCAATAGTAGATATTGATTGAGTCCTGTGTCTATTAAAGCAGCGAGTTCTCTGTATATATTGGAATAAAGATCCTCTGACAGAAGTTCAGCTAAATTATTCAGTTGTAAATTCTACCACTCTAACATCGATGGATGTTTCATGAATGTTGTAAAAGAAGAGGAGTTCTGATTGTATTGCTGTGTTTATTTAACTCAAAATAATGTGTCTAATAAACACTAAGGTCACACACATGGTGTAGAAACTATCTGATATACCTGTCAAAATCAAACCCTTGAGCTGCTAGAAGTAATAACAGGGAAAGTGGGATGAATTATTGAAAAGCCACACTGTATAATATCCAACACCAGTGGAGAGAAGATACTTGCATTCAGAATCAGACCGAAGCGTAGCACAGCGGCTGAGGGCACTAATACTGCCTCCTGCTGAAGGTGAATTGGATCATTTCTCCCTGTTTCTTACAGATCCCAGGCCTACGTGGACCACATTGACGGGTCGTATTCCCTCTCTGCCCTGCCCTACAGCCAGATGTCCGAGCTGCTGAGCCGAGCCGAGGAGCGCGTGCTGGTGCGGCCCCACGAGCCGCCGCCGCCGCCCCCCATGCACGGCACCGCCGAGGCCAAGGCCGTGCCCCCCTGTGTCAGGTAGCGGCCACAGAGGCCATGTGCCCTGCTCCTGGGGCTGCTGTGGTTATCCACCCCTGCCAATAGCTGCCAGCATTGCTGCTGTGCTGCCCAGGAACCCCAGCGTGCCTGCAGGAGCAGGGCCGCCGGGAGCTGGGTGGGAAGGCCGGCACCTAAATCCCATAGGGTGGAGAAAGGCCTCAGCTTGCCATCAACACTGCCACCGTGTTCTGAGTTAAATGGCAAGACCAAAACTGTATGGAAATGCTTCTGTGAAATATGTTGGCATTTCAGGATGTAGCTTTGGAGTTTTGGAAATTTGTACAACTGGGATGTGTTTCAGCCTACATGAAAGGAAGAATATATCACACTAAGACAGCTGTCAAAACTATGTATTCATTGCATTTGCTAAATTGTAAGTGCTTCTCTCTCCCAAAGTGGGTTTTTTTTCCCTACTTCTTTGTACCTTTTCAGAAGTGGATACATACATAGAATATTTTCTAGAGATGAAAATTTCTTTGTCACTCCCCTATTTTTTTATACCAAAAGTCTTATTTTATGGTCAGGCACATACAACGTAGAATAGTGGATAGCTAATTCAGATGGGATTATTACATCAGCAAGTTGTTAGTGTCCTGAAATGGGTGATATTTGCTGCTTAGGAGATCATACACAAAAATGCATAACTCTTTAGATTAATTTACCACAACAGTTTAAAGAAATCCTCTAGTGGTCTTTCAGGAAAATAAATTTACTGTTCTCTCTTGTTTCTTCAGTTCACCTATTTATTGTCCTGTAATGAGTATCTAGCATATAACTGTACCTCTCTGTATGCAGTATTGATGACCTTTAATATTAGTCTCACTCATTTTTTCATCACACCTTAAGTATATATATTTCAAATTAACTTGTTCTCATTGTTTGCATTGTTTTGTTTTGGTTTTAAAGTTCTGTGAACCAAAACAGTTAATCAACTGCTAGTTCCCTGACTTGAGAAAGATAATTTGGATTTACTTAGGGATGACAGGGAATAATTATATCAAAGGTACAGGAAATCTTTGATCAAGATGCAGGTACACTGTATAAGAACATAGATTTGGTTAATAGCTGAATTTGAGCAGAGGTCTTTTGGAAACCCGTTGCAAGCTCCATACTGAAAATTAGACATCCTTATTTATGAGGTGTGGACAAACACCCTGAAATCATCATAGCACATAATGCTCTTTAATGCTCAGGTTTCAATGTTCTAAAGTTGCAGAAGTTAATCTATTACTATTTTTCCACTCTCTAGCTCTAATATCTTTGTTCTGTTATTGGATGTTGCAGTTCTACTCCTGGCTTGGTAGAAAATCGCCCTCAGTCACCAGCAACAGGCAGAACACCGGTGTTTGTGAGCCCCACTCCTCCTCCTCCACCACCGCCACCCCTTCCATCCGCCTTGTCGACTTCATCCTTAAGAGCTGCAATGACTTCCACCCCTCCACCCCCAGTCCCACCGCCACCACCCCCTCCCACAGCCGCTCTGCAGGCCCCAGCTGTGCCACCTCCGCCAGCTCCTCTCCAGATTGCTCCTGGAGTTCTTCATCCAGCTCCGCCTCCAGTGGCTCCTCCCCTGGCACAGCCCTCTCCCCCTGTCACCAGAGCCGCCCAGGTGTGCGAAGCTCTGCCTGTTCACCCCGTTCCTCCGCAAGCTGAAGTTCAGGGACTTCCTCCGCCCCCCCCACCTCCTCCCCTGCCACCTCCTGGCATCCGACCCTCCTCCCCTGTCACAGTTGCAAACCTCTCTCACCCTCCTCCTGTCCTGCACCCTCCTGCCACAACCATTGTCCCTGGCCCTCATGCGCCCATAATGCCTCCGTCTCCACCATCCCAAGTGATTGCTGCTCCTGAGCCCAAACGCCATCCTTCAACTCTGCCTGTGATCAGTGATGCTAGGAGCGTTCTGCTGGAAGCAATACGGAAAGGTAACGTTGGCTATTACACACCAAACAGAACCATCTCAGGAACCTGCTAAATACACGTGACCTTTGAGACTTGGAATATTTCACACGTGTAAGAAGTTACAGGAATGCATCTCAAGTCTGTTTCTGTTTTCTATCCCCTACAGTGTATACACTGCCAAGTAGGCAGGTTTTTTTCAATTTGTAATTTCACTTATCAGATGTTTAGTTTGGATGGCAAACCTGATTCTTTGTGGAAGTTAGGTTACAGAAAAAAGTACGTGTGTTTGTAGATGATCTGTGGAGATATTATCTTTCCATTTCTGTTTACCTGCAAATGTAGTTATTTCTGATCATCTACAAATTGTGTAGAAGACAAAAACATTGGTTTTCACAGACTATTAGATAAAAGGGAAACGGATCAATTGGCATTGGAATTTTGATCATCTGTCACTGTATTACAAGATATAAGTGACATTCAGAAATCATTGCTGAAGACCTCAAACTGTTAAGTATCTGGTCTGGACACTGATCTCAGTGCAGTAGTGGAGCAGCCTTTGCATTGCAAGGTGCCCATGGCAGAGTGCAAGAGAAGGGCAGAGCTTCAGGGCAGTGTTTTCCTGATGATCTCATGAGGAGCTGTGTGTGCCAGCTGGACCTTTCAGCTTATGGTGCCCATGGCCAGAAAAATCCCCACTGGCATCAGAACACACATTGGTGTGTGCTGCTGTTTGATGGTGGGGTGTCTTTCAGTAGTTAAGATCTCCCAAGTGTTTCAAGTCCTACATTCTTCTCTTCCCCTGTACTGCAGCACAGCACAGAATCTGTATGGTACTGTAATATCAGCAGACAGGCTATAGCACTAATTCAAAATATTTTTGCATGTCTGTATGCACATGAATTGGTAACATCACTGAAATCTAAAGAAATGTTGACAACAGCTGAGTACAACATGGGTGCATGAACATGCGTAGAGAATGTCAGCAAAAATGAGAAAATAGAGCCTGCTGGTATAATCTTGGTGATTGCTGAGAACACTTTTGACCGAGTCATACCCAAAAAACAAAGGCTTGAGTTACCACAGCTTTGAACTCCAAGTAATACTTTATCCCAAACCAAATCATTACATGATAAAAAACAGAGTTACAAGAGGTCCTGTCTTGTTGGGATATTCAAATAGCTGTAAACTTTCATTAAAATTATGAATAGAGAGTCTAGAAAATGCAAATAGCAAAATGGCTTAATCACTTAGAGTGGTACTAAAAATGTATTTTAATGGAAAATCAGAACCAGGATATTGTAGTAGACGGACTCAAGATCTTGTCTGCCGCTGCAATTCTGACATTCTTCTCTTTAAAAGCTTGACAAAAAAAATTCTACCTGAGCAGGACAGCATCCTGTGTACTCATTTTTGATTGCAAAGCATTCTGTGAATCATGACCTAGATCCATGTGCAGTGGGGAAGCAGGAGGGTGACATGTTTGTGCTCTGCTGTTCCCAGGCATTCAGCTCCGCAAAGTGGAGGAGCAGCGGGAGCAAGAAGCGAAGCACGAGCGCATTGAGAACGACGTCGCCACCATCCTCTCCCGCCGCATCGCTGTGGAGTACAGTGATTCAGAAGATGATTCAGAATTTGATGAAGTAGATTGGCTAGAGTAAAATTATTACATTGCTGTACACTGCAAAATCGAATGCTAATGTCCATTGTGGTGCTTGTTCTTTGGAAGTTTGATGGTCATTTCTAGTGTTTTTTGTATTCTTTTCTTAACATAATTAATCCATGTTTTTCTACTTTTCAGTTTACAAAGAGCTCCTAGTGCATCTTCAAAACTAAATGTTTTACAGTGGCTTTTCTTACACATCTCTTTTGAAAGAACATACTTTGTTCCAATAGACCACTAAGTATTAAGCATGGGCAGCTGTTGGTAGAGTAGCAGATTCAATTTTTTGGCATATCTTAACTGTGCACTTTGTGAATTTTAAGTTGATGAAGGCAACTGAGATTGACATTCCAAGGGCAGCTGTATGTACTAATGAGCCTTATTCCACTTCTGATAGTATTTTAAAACATTAAACCTAGCTATCAAAATATCACTGCCTCGATCACACCTGTATACTAAAAGTACATATAGTTAGCAGCACTGAACACACTGAAAAGCAAATGGATCTTTGGGGGGGTTTATTATTGTTTTATTGTTGTTTTTAAATAATTATGGCCTTATTTGAATGTTTAGAGATTCCCCTTCCCTTCTTCCCTCCCAGGTACATATTGTGTGGTACTATTTTTGCCTGCATAATAAAAGTTTAAAGTTTTTTTTCCTTGTGAAATCTTTTGACTTAACATGCTGTGTAACTTATGTAACTGTTAAAATAACAGTTTGATTTAATAAATGGTTCATTTTAAATGTTCCTGGGTGTTGGTCTTTCAATGAAGCCTGGTTTTCACTGGTATACCTGAGAGATCCTTGGTTTTCAGGTATTTAATCTGAGGTGTACAAAGTTAAAGTATTTTCCCGTCAGTGTATCTTGATGAGATGCAGCAGTTAAAATCATGATTGATGAAAGATGATTTTTTAAGTGCTGTCTAGCAGTGCAGTGCATGTTTTGCACATCTTTTGTGTTTCTCTTCCCTGGAATAACTCCCTCAAGTCTGAGCACATAGCCAAAAGCCTGTTGAAAAGGGAAGTCTGAGAGGGTGCAAGAGCTCTCTTATCCTGTGATCTTGTTCCTGGAAGATGGAATCCTGTAATAGAGGATAAGAAGTCTTGAAGGTCAGATTGAGATTTCTTGAAGGTGGAACATTAAATATTCTATGTGTTACAAACCAGCTTGCAGGGACACGTGCTTGTTATCCTTCTCTTGGAATTGGGCAAAACTCCCGAGGGATACACTGGGGTAGGAGCAGTGTACAGCAACCCTTCCAGCTTCTCTGTCCCCATCTCAGCCTCCAATGGGATTTTGCACGTGGCCTGCTGTACTCAAGACTTTCAACTGCAGCAGTAACACCTTTGTTAGTTTTGTGGAAGAAAAAATATTGTCACAATTTGTGAATCTGCATCTTTGCAACTGTGGCTGCAGGTATGTGTGCCCTGGTCTCTCTTGAGTTTTTTCACAGTAGCACCATCTGGTTTGTTCTTTTGTTCTCCATTGACTTCCCAAGTGTGTGTCCTGCTTAACCCCTCATTGTAATGGTAAAGAAAGGATGTCAGAGCCACTTCTGCATATTTGATGGTGTTTCCTTGGATCTCAGTAATCCTAACTCACCAAACCTAGCTTGTCCAGAAGCTAAATGTGGGATCCTATTGTTGCAGCTGTAAAGATTTGAGATCATAAAGCAAAGTTCATTGTATGCAACCACAGCTCCCCTTTAGCCAGGGACCAAGATTTGCACTCCAGGCAGCTGAAAAGAACCTGAATTTCGTGTGTAGTTCTGCCATTCACAAAATTTCATTTCAACTGATATTTATACCTATTCCTTGCACAAGTCTCTATAAACTGATTTTTCTGGTGGGTATCACAGAAAGCAGCCCGCATTGCCACTTAAATGGAGCAGCAGTATTTCTATACCCAGGCTCTAACTGTTCGAATTAGAGCATCTCACCATCATGCCTGCGTTGGTGGGTGTGTTCTGAGTGTGTCCAGGAACTGTGAACTGCATATAACTTACATAAAATGAAGAAAAAGGGAAGAAATTAAAGCAAAAAAACACCCTTACTGTAACTGCAGCTATCACTTAGCAGACTTGAAGGTATTTTAAAAAAAAATCCTTATTGACAAATAGTTGTTACTGACCTGTTTCGCTGTCCTGCTGATTAATAATATCCCTTCCAAGCTGGTACCCAGGGCACATAAAGCACTCATGTAATACGACACAGTCACACAAAGTAATGAACCTTGCCTGTGAAAAGTCAAGAGTTAAATTCAGTTAACATTTCAAAGGCAGGATTCTTGGCCTTCTGCCACTGCTACAGCTATCTGCCATAGCAACTGGTCTCCAGATAGCAATAGCATGATTCACTAGTAGCAAGAGGTGATTGTTGAATTTGAATATTTGTGTTTGTAGATCAGCTCCCGAGCCGTGCATTTGCAGTCTCGGTGATTTGTGTCCCTCTTACTGTGGTCTCCAGCCGCCTTTCTCGTTTGGTGGAATGCTGTGCAGAGGGCTGCTGGGCTCTTCATGCCTGTGATTAGATGTGTAATAGATTATTGATTGCTTTGTCTTGTAAGGTACTAAATCAAGATTTCTGCATTGAACTGTTTACGGAGTCTGTTGTTTACCTCTGTACATTTGCAGCAGCTGGTTAAAACCAAGGCTTGAAGTCTGACACAAAAATAATGTGTCAGTTATGTTCCATATAAGTGAAGAGAAACCTTTGTCTTCACCCTTTTCTCAAACTGTAATCTGGGACAGTTAAGAATTATTTGCCTCTCCTACTGAGAATGGGCAGGGGAGAGGAAGAACAATATAAAGTGCATGGAAGAAACAAAATCTGCTTGGTGGCAGACAACTAGGGAGGTGCAGAATTGGTCACTCGGGGGTTTTATCAAAAGATTAAACAGTAACAATGCAGCTATCATAGACAAACCAAAAACAAATCAGTAAATGGAAGAGAACAAGGACTGAAGAAGCAAAAATTAAAAAGATACATAATTTTGGAGTTTTTTTGTAGCAGTGTGATATGAACAGTAACCATTAAATACTAGATATTATTAAGGGATTATGTTATCTCTCAGTAAAGTGGGATTTTGAAATCAGGAGGCATTAAAAGGCCTTTAATTGATAAAATTATTCTTCTGTGCATGTTACATGGGAGCGCACTCCTCAGGATTTAGGTGGACACCATTGGACTGGCACACCATTGACTGTCTGGGACCCAAGTGTGCCAACAGGTAACCACAGTCCCCAAGGCTTTGCGACAGACTCCTCAGGATGATGGAACTATCCTGGCTTGGATGCAGCTGCCCCCCCTGAAGTGCATCCCACGGGATTTCCCTGGGGCTGAGAGCCTTTGTCTGCCTGGAGGATGCAGATGGGAGCAGACTGCCATACCTCAGTGTCCCCAGCCCATGGATCCCCTCGAGAGGGGCTCAGGATGGTGCAGAAGGCCCTGTTTGGCAGCGGGAGCAGCTCCCAGCAGCATTCCCACAGCTGTGCGGGTTACGGCAGCAGCGGAGCCCCGATCGCGGCGGTTCCGAGGGGAGACACGGAGGCGAAGCCTCGGCACCGGCTCTGCCGCCCAGGGCTGCATCAGCGAGATGTGACAGAAATTCGACTCGAGCTCCATCAAGTGTCCGCTTTGTCTCCTCAGCTGCAGGCCAGAATGAGTTTTACTCTCCCCGATCCTCTTCTGCAGATGCGGGCATTAAACACCAGGAGAGGAATCACAACCAGAGACCAGGGGCAGCAGCGACAGCGATCCCCCTTTTTGTCACCTCTGCCAATTGTCCCCTCTCCTTTCCCCTCCTGGCCACTTTTCACACTTGAAGGATTCTCGGGTCTGGGAGTCTGCCCACAGGAGCCTTCCACACGCTCTTGGGGCGGCAGCTGGGAGAGACCTCCCTGATTCCCAAACTGCTTCCTGAGCACACACCAGCCCTCGGCAGAGGTGAGTTCCCTCCATCTGTCCTCTGAGCTGCTCGGGACTGCTCTCCCCTCCCTCACCGAGCCCCAGTGGGCTGGGTCGGGTTTCGGTGTTTCAAAGGCAGCTCCTGGCGGCTCGGGCATTGCTTTGGGCACTCCCGTGAGCCGGGGCTTGGCGGGCAGCTCGCAGGGCCCAGGGAATGCCCGGCAGCACCGCCAGGCACTGCCCAGGAGCAGGCAGGGCATTCTCATCCCACCCCAGCTGCTGCTGGAAGAGGACACACGGACAGGCCTCAGGAAACGGGCACTGGAGCAGATATAGCGAGGCTTTTCCCCCCTGCTGATTCCTGTGCCTGGAGAATGGGCTCTGCCACATTGCTCATCGCTCATGTTCCTCAGCTGCCAGCACCCCCTGACAGCAGCATCAGTAACAGCCTCTAAAGAAAATTGCATCCATCCCATTTCGTCTAAATTCTTATTTTTGCCGTATTTGCAGGCTCTGAGCAATTGCTCCAGCTACCTTCTTTTGACAACTGGATCAGAGAAGTCATCAAGCATCTCTCACCAAATGGGGCTGAGTATTCCCCTTACGTTTCTTTACCTGATGGTTCAGTAACTTCCCTCTCAGACACAAGACAGCTGAGTGCCCCCTACAGACAGGTCGTTTTCATTTCCCACCTCCCCCATTTTAATGCCTTCGATGTCAGAGTGTTCTTTATTGCAAAACTTGTGACATTTTCGCACAGTTTCACCGCAGTATTATTCCAAGAAAAGCTGAAAAAATACCTCCCTTTCATGAGATCTTCCACTGTGTTTTAGCCACTTCTACTCCTCTGCAAGGCATTTCCCTCACCACAATTTTAAAATCTCAGAACAGGTCTCCTTCTCAACCCACCCCAGTGTTTCCGTGGAACAAGATCCATGCCCAGTGTCATATTATCACAGCTTGATCTTGCACTTCAGTATCAGCCAGAAATAACTCCAGAAACTGCCTGAGACTTCTAACCTTGTGAGAAAGCAGCTCACAGCCTGGGTCTTGGCATGCTAGTGTAGTTTAGAAATTCCCCTTCATGCCAAGCAAATGCTGGAGGCTGGATTTTTCCCAGTTGCATTTTGGCAAGGCCAACACCAGCTTGTAAGCATCACGAGCAGGACACACAGCCCCACACGGGGATGGAGGAGACCATCAAGCAGCCTGGACAAGAGGCTGCCCCTCACTGCAGCCCAGATAAGGATGCATCTTCTGGGTTTTAAAAGCACAAAGAAGTTAGCAATGCTCCCAGACAGGACAGGTGTTCCCCACAAGCCAGCATCCTTTGCTGGTCAGTGGGAATCCTGGCAGTAATCCAGCTGTGGTTAATTAGGAGAAAACATGAGGATAACTCCTTTGCTCCTGTGTACTTTGTTCCCTGCATGATGGCTGTGCACCCCAGCACCTGTCAGGGACGTTTCAGTGCCAGTGATTTTCTTTGGATGAATCAGAGGTAGAGCAACTCAGACCCTGTTCCCACAGCAAAGAGAGCCCAGCTCTGGGAGCAGCCAAATCCATCTGGGCTTCCCAGACAGCTCCTCCAACTCTCTGTAGATCCCTCTGATGGAGACCTCTAGGGTCACATGGAAAAGTTACCACCCTAAATCCCAGAAATGTTAAGGCCAGGATTTGATGCCTCCTTGGGTTTTGAAGCTTTCCACTGACTTGACACATCTCTGCAGCTTGCAAAATCCCAGGATGTGAGCTTCTCCTGAAGAACCTGCAAATGGGTTATAGCCAGCCCTATCCCCACAGTGTCCCCACAATGTTGACTCCACATCCCTTGAAACCAGGAGG